TAGAAATACTATACTAGCAATCATATACTAGCAAAACGTGCGGTCGCTGACGCTGTGAAGTGTTTTAAAAATAGTTTCATGTGTTAACATTTCTTTCATACCCAGCTTTGTTTAAATATGTTCTTTCAGTATATGGTATTAAGACTTATCAATGAATCATAGTAGTTGATGATATTATAGTCCTGTTCAAAAGTTCCCAATACCGTGGCCGTGTGTGTTACCGCCATATGGGATATGAACTGGTCTTGTTGCAATTTCAAAATTGATATCGCCATAATATACATCTACAGGTGTTGATGCTAATAGTTAAATCCATTTATTCGCCTTTTTGGTAATATGCACCAAAATGCACATAGCACATTTGTATTAGCACAAATAATAAATGCAAAAACACAGATAATTCCAATTTAGTTGCGAAAATTCTATCGCAACATCTTTTACAGCTACTTTTGATTCTTCCCTGGATTTTCTTAACACTTCCATATTTTTCTCCCCTATTTTTAAGAGACTAAAACTTTACAAACTCAGTCTAATTTGTGACTACTTCTACTTCTGTAATTGCTCTACTAATCGTTTTGCATTCGAATCTAGCGTTGCATGCGAATCTAACATTAAAAGGTGACTATTCTGTATGTTTATGTGAATAAAGTGTTAGTTAATTTGAATAAGAATAAGCTGTGAGCCACATTCATTTGAAAACGTATTTGCACACTTATGTAAGAACGAAAAAGTGCGATGTCGAACATAACGTTCATTCGCTCTCCATCATTACTCACAGTAATATTTTCTCCATGTTCACTTGAAATTAATGTTCATTAAGTTTTGAGGCAATACTGTTCGTAGATATTCGCAAATTTATTTTTACAAATACGATAATAATTCGACTCTAAAATGAAATCAAACTGCAGCGCGACTAACTTGATAATTCAATTATTAACTTAAAGATGTCAACATCAATGTTGCCAAGGCCGTGAAAGAAAATGTAGTATTAAGCAAAAATTGCCTTTGGGTTCTTGTATTTAATCAACGCCATCTACATCGATCGGTTTAGAAGGCATTAATTTAATTCCTGGCATTATCACTACTATCGCAGCGCCAAGACACGAAAAACACGTTTTCGAACATTTCTTTAAAACTTCTAGCGAGATCCAAAAACAAGTTATCAGTTCCCCATCAGGTGACCGTGACGAGTCAAATGACACCGCACACGTCTCGATTGGCGCACGGGAAATGGCCTAGACGCCAGTGACGAAATGGCAAAAACACACATCAGCACGTCCGCACACTCAAGAGCTTTATTGAAATACTGTATTAAAGCTGTAAGAGACCGATTTCGATGTCTCTCTCAACTGTCTCTCAGTGAACGGTTTTAAACAAGTGAGGTACAAAAAATTGAGAAAAAATTAGCAGTGGAGGAAAATATATATTGAATAGATATCAGCTTTCCTTCGTTATTAAAAATTACCGAATATTGTCCACCTGGTGGTATTCCGTATTAGCATCTTCTGAACATAGTTTTGGAGGCTTTGACACCTGAAAGCTTTTAACGGATCGTGTTTTCAAAAATACAAAAGTAAACCTGAAAACGTGTTATATTCGACGTCACATATAACACAAACCAAGAACGAAACGTTGAGTATTCAAATGATCAAGAATGGATGACTTACCGCAGTTTTCACTTTCCACAATACAAAAAAAACGATCTAACTCCAAACGTGGTATCAGTCAGAAGAGCATGGACACCGCTGAGGTCATGGAGCTTCAAAACGAATGTTCACTCATTCTTCCACTAGGCTGCATCACTTACCACTGCCTAAACCGTCGTATTCCAGTATTTTCCCTATCCCATTTCTGTCTCTCTTCCCCTAGTATTTTAAAGGGTATTGTTTCCATATTTGTGACTATTTTCTCTCATTACGAAGCTGAATAAGGAACACAAAACGATGTCTTACAATAATTACTGGACTGTTGTTTTCACAATATTTAATGTACAATGATTATTATGAGTCTTGTTAAATACAGAGGGACAAGAAAAGTATCTCCGCAGTGTCACCATGTCGGTGAGAGTTCCAGCTACAGAACATCTCTTGGTACCACGCAATCCGGGAAGCTCTGGGACCAACGAGCTAGAATATACTACAGAAAGTGGCTGACCCTATGGTTTGAACGCCCATGGTGGACACTCGCAGAACTAGGTGCCGCCATGTTTTTTTTCAGTCAAAACACGAGAGGTGCCTGATAGTGGCGTGTGGAACTGTAGTATTGAATCGACGTGTTGTTTGTGTGAGATATTGTTTCTATATTGTTGTCTTTTCGTTTAACTATATTTAAATTATATTAGTGGTTGTAATTACTCGTATAACATTCACAATGCCTTCAGTATATTCGGCACGTAGCAGTAAAAATAAAAGTCATCAAACTACAAATATATAATTTTTAAAGTTCGCCACCTTATTTGTGATCCGTTTGTTTGCTTCTTATTGCAATAACATTCACTTTCAGGCGCTACGTTAACTACAATAACGTTTCAACAGCTTCCATTCTTATGAGAATAACCAATGCAGGAAGGGACATATTTTTAAAAAAATCTTAATTCGCTCCGTTTACATATTGTGATTTCGTTATTAAATTATTGATTTTTGGCCGTGAAATATAGAGCTATTCGGCGGCGTGAAATATAGAGCTAATAGCCGGCGATGGTGTAACGGTTAGCGTATCGGACTGTTGTACCCAAGTTGGCGGGTTCAAACCCCCATCGAAGCTTGGAAGGACGAAAAAATCCTTCGTACGCCTTCCTTCGGAGGGGAAGTAAAGCCGGCTGTCCCATGTTAGTAGATTTACTTGCATGTAAAAGATCCTCAAGCCTAAATGACGCCTCTGAGCTAAATTCAAATCGCCTGTTTCTCGCCCCCGAAATACCTCCTTTCTCTGCTAGTTGGTGAAAGGAGCGTAGAGAAATTTGCGTGGTAAGACGCAACAGCAGGCCTCATGGCCTGAGTCTCACCACGTAAAATAAGGCATCAATTCAATTATAAGATTTATATTACGCGCATCCGGCGCCCATCCGGTCTTAACCAACGCCACAGGGAGTACTCTTTTATTTCCCCAGAGGACCCTGCTTTGACTGCAAAAAACATGGCTTCAATTTACCTCAAAGATGAAAGCTCTCCAGCTACTGTAGTATATTCTAACTCTTTGGCTGGGACCCTCCAAGGGGTGAGGCGGGGAGGCAGGAGCAAGGCGACGGAACGTATGCGATACTAGCGCCGCGCACGGCAGTGAGGTGAAGGGTATAAGCTCATGTCATTGCATTGTTTCTGACCGGGAAGTCCAAGAATTCGAGACCCGACGGTGGCAGGATATTTGATTGGTAGATAGCTAGTTCGAATTCTTATATTCTAGGTAGATAGCTAGTTCGAATTCTTATATTCTAGGTAGATAGCTAGTTCGAATATTTATATTTTGTACTTAAAGGAAATACTAAAGTTTTTAATTTTTTTAATCTATACATACTTTTATTTCCTGCCAAAAATAGGCTGGCGAACTATATGTCGATTCATATGATTTACTTCTACCCTTGTATCCTAGTTCACCTTACAATTTACTTTATTACAATTATCAAAATAAAATTATATTGATAATAAAACAATATAGTTTCTCATTATTTCTTTGTTTTCTCCATTATCATATCATTAATATTGGCTAAACACACACCCCACCACTTGGCAATCGCAATATGACGTTGCCGTCCTAGCAGGGGGAGACGGGCAGGAGCACCATCAACGAAACATTAAATAATTTAGATTTAATTTGCTATGTATAAGGTTTTAACTGTCGCGAGTTGAGGGGGAGAGGGAGGACCCCACAAACTCGTGCAGGAAGAAAAGAAAGTATATTTTAAATATATTTTAATAAATTCACTTACCCGCGTAGTGGACCCTACGTCCTGGGAGGGGGTGGCATGGCTCCGGCTGGCTCCGGCAGGTGGACGTGTAAATAGAGGGGCGAGGTGCGAAGCCCTCGCCATTTTATAGCCTCGGAACGCTGGCGTCGGCAAATGACAACTGGTCACTTGCCGACGGCAGCGTGTCGCGAGGGCCGGAAAGCCATATCGCGACATAACGCATTCAAAAGACGTACTTTTATGAAGTGCATTGCTATCCTTTATGAATAAAGGATATCTGCAGTTGTAGCAGAATAACAACATAACAGAAAAAATTCGTCTTAACATATCATAAATAATATATAAGAATATAATTAACAAACAATATGACAGAAAACAATAATAAATAATATACATGATAAATAGTGTTTAACAATTGGATTACTTCGTGCCATAAAAGGCGTTACTGGCAATCCAATTATTAGCATACAGTTTACATTTTGCCTACTCCAGGAAAAAGTCGAGTTCAAGACCACGTCGACGCCGATCCTGTGGCCGAGATCGCTAAGGCAGTAGTGCCGTAGCGACCTCGGTCCGAAGGATCGCGGGTTTGAGTCCCGCCTCGAGCATGATTGTAGTGTGTTCGAACTTTCACCCCTTATCATCATATCGTGTCACCCTCACAATTACCATACCGTTACACACAATAGTAGTCGCTAATGACCTAGAAGTTGATGCGACCTTAAATAACAAAAAAATACCAAGTCATTTCGTGTACAGAAATTGTTTTTTAAATGTGACCAGAAGTGTGTTAAATTCATGTACATAATTTTGCAGCCGCTGCCCCCTGGAGGAGACAAAACCGTTAACACCGCCCAGGAGTCCATTATTCTATGGTCACTTAACAATGTTAAACCGTTACACTCCATTACATAGAGTATTTGTTACAACATATACACATATACATACATATATTCCTGCATACGTTTATACAATCCTAGGGCTCGAGTTCGGATGATGGCAGGACTTTCGACAGTATCTAAGTGCATCGCTAGGTCATTCTGTCGCTGGTCGTCGTAGCAGTCGGACGTGTTTTAGCGGAGCTCCTCGCGAGACAATGGGTTGCTACCTGCAGGAGTATCGGGCTCGCATCGGGGCGTGGGCTGCGCGCTTTTCCTCGTGCGGAGCGCCAGCCCCTTCGGCATCGTTGAACGGGAACGGGGCAGCGGCTGGAGCAGCAGCGTTGTGTGCGACCACGATTGCGGTCCTTTTATTAATTGGAGGCGTCGAACCTAACACAGGACCTGAAGTTGAAGTTAACGCAATTCGCATCGTGTGCAGTGGTTGCAATAATAACCTAAAATCCGGGAAGCAGTGTGAATTGTGTGGACTGTGGTACCATGCTAGTTGTGGTAAAAATGGAGACATGGACAACGGCAAGTGGTTTTGCAGTAAGTGCAGAGAAAGCAGAGTGCGTCAACTGGAAGAGAAACTGGAAGCTGCTCTTCTTCAAATCCAGGAGTTGAAGGAGTTAAACGCATCTCTGGAGGAGAAACTTCGAGCTGCTACAGTAGGAGACGCCGCACAGCCAATTCTACAGGCGCCAACTGCGAGAAAACCCATTCTCGTTATTGGTGACTCGATAGTGCGACATGTAGGCAATGTGAACAATCACATGGATGTTGTGTGCCTCCCGGGAATCCGAACCGAGCAGCTGCGGAGGTATGTAAAGAATAGGGACCTTGGAACGCCAGACACCGTAATTATACATGTTGGCACTAGTGACCTGAGGAGAAGAAATCCTGACTTTGTCATGGGGGATATGGGTGACCTCGTGATGAATGCACAAGAGAAATTCCCTAAAGCAAAAATATATGTTAGTGGCATTCTCAGGCGTCGTGGCATTCCATGGAGAGCGGGTTGACTCAGTCAAAACCGAATGTACGAGTGGGTGGCGCAAGAGAAAAAATGTGTTTCTTTGTGACTCAAATTCGCTGGCTTTTCAGGACGCGAATTTCGGTCGTGACGGTTTGCCAACCTAAATCGCTAGGGTCACAAACGCTGGGTGGAGCTCTTCGCGCGCCTAGGAGGCCCGAAAACTCCCCGCGACAGGCTCGTGGACGCATGCGGGTGGCGGCAAGGTGATGTCGTGTCCCTTGTGATGGTTTGCGCGGGGATGTCGGGCGACGGACGGCGGCGGGCCGAGGACGGCGGACGTGCAATGGTGCGGGCGACGGGGCGAGGATGGTGAAGCGGGCAGTGACGGCCGGACGACGCAGTGGCGGCGGTGAGGGACCGTCGTCGTGGGCCGGCAACGATGAACGGCCAACTTATCTCCCGCACAGCGACGCGGGAATTGTACGCGGAGAACGGCGGCATTAGATAAGGCACTTCGCAGAAGGTGAGTCTCTGGTTATTTTGCAGGTTAATTTGTTAGGAGTATTTATAATGAAAACTGTTCATTTCTGGAACATGGTAGAATCGTAACAATGTAAAGTGTCGTGATATGGTAACTGGAGGTCATGTCTCATTGCGGAAATATTATAATGCTGAATCTTCAGACCACCATTTTTTAATATTCGGCGCGATAGAGTAGATCGCATTTTGGTGGGGGAGTTTTTTATATGTATAAAGACACTTCGAAGCAGTAGAGGATGGGTGGACGACAAATTTGAAATCATAGGTGGTTACATTCGAGATAGGAATTCAAAAATCAGTGGGAAATTATATGGCGGTGTATGATCACAGCAAGACGCACGACGACCGTTTCAAAGACCTTTATTCAGAGAGAACCCGGTAATGCAGGAAAAGTGGAAAAAATGTCATTAATGGAGGAGACGTTTAAATTTACCGGCATGTTAGCTTGGGAGGGGGATTGTGATAGGCTGAAGGCGCCGCTTCAACGCCTCATTAACGAACTGGTCTGGGAAAATGGCTTTAACACAGTAGTGACAAAGCCGACCCGCGATAATGCTTTACTGGACGTTTTTCCCTTATTAGACCGCCAAGACCAATCTTTTGCTGCGAAGGTAATTCCTGGAATTAGCGATCACAAAGGAGTCGCTCCTAAAAATTGTGGCATGAGAGGGTAACGAAATATTTGTAAAAGAAAGACAAATTTTTCAGTTTCTCAAACAAACGTCACGAATACATGCATTATACTTGAAAAGCAATTTCCGGCTTTGTGTTCCTAGCGATTGCTTACAGTAGCACAGATCTGGTCAATTTTAAAAACATTATCTTTCTGAATACTTAGCAAAATTTCGTGCTCCAGGAAACTACGGTGCATTCGATCCTGGTGTACTATACAAAGAAGTGGAGGCGATGGAAAAGGCAGGTTAGGAAGCGATGTAAACGTAATAATAAATAAGGAATAGCAAAAATAAATTTTATCAATTATCCAAAGACCTATAGCATTTTAAAGTTACATACCCAAGAAAATACCTAAATCATTCTAACGACGCGATTGACTGGCTTGGCAAATTTTTTCAAGTCATGTGAGACATAGAAAGGGAACAAAGAAAGTAATTCAGCGATCTGCGGAGCAGATGGTTCGTTAATTTACACATGACGTGAAAAGGCGGCTTGTTAAACGACATTATTCATCTGTTTTCAAGCCGAAGGATCAATCTTAGTAAGTGAAACAATACCCGTAATTGAAACCTTTCGAATCGATGAGGAATTCATTAGAAAACCGTAATTGCAAAAATTAGGAGAAACAAATCAGTAGGTCCTGATGGAATATTCCAGAGAAATACTGAACTGGAGGGGAAAGGCCATGATTTCGTACTTGCGCGCTGAATGGAGGTTACTGTAAATTAATAGATGATGTCCTCAAATTGAAAGACGCAGTCGTAGTGCCGATTCACCAAGGGAGGAGACAGAAGGAGTGTTAACAATTACATGGCTTAATTTGACATCAGTCGTACGCAAACAGATGGAACACATAATCGCGGATATATTAGACGAGTTTTGGAATAAAACTGGAATTGGATATTTCAAAATCAATACGTTTTCGTCCTGGGTATTGTGCGACAGCCAGGACATTGCTTTTTGTCAGACAGTAGCAGATTCAATTAGCGAAGGGAGTAGGGTCGACGCAATAATATTAGATTTTTCTAAGGCATTTGATTTTGTTCACAATGGCCTTAATTAATTTCCAATGTCAGAAACGGAATAGATCATCGAATAATTCTGTTGGATTAAAAGAATTTCTACTGGGGCGACCTCAAACAGTGCCAGATAGGAAGACAAATATTCATCGGAAAGCCGATGTAACCTCAGGGGTCCCCCAGAGGAGTGGTGTTAGGGCTTTGCAATTCTTAGCGTATATTAATGACTTGCAACGATTAAAATCAAAAGTTAGAACTAATTCGCCGACGATTGCATAATATATAGGAGATTGGTCGTCTGAGAACGAAAATGTTTTACAGAGCGATCTTGAAAGGTTTTATGGAAGCTGGCGTGCGGAAATAAGATGGAATTAAATCCGGAAAGAGTAAATTCATTTGCTTTACAAGTGCCCGCTCGAGGTACGCTCCGTTATGATTAAGGAACTAACGTTATATCACGTGTTAAAAAACTTAAGTTTTTGGTTTGTCTGCGAAGCGACTTAGGTTGGTGAATCATATTACAATACGGTTAACAAAATCTGGGAGAGAGCTGCGACTTTGTAATGCGTATTCTAAAAAATGTAGTCACAATGCCATGATCCTAGCATATACTACACTTGTTCGTCCAATTTAGAATACGGAGCGGCATGTGGACCCGTACAGAAAGAGGGCAAATCGAAGCGTTAGATAAAAATTCAAAAACGGGCCTCAAAATGTTTGTAAATCAGGGTGCGTGGGTTGACGACGAGAAGATAAGGAGTCCTATCTAAGAAAAGGGACGGGCGCGTTTTTATGCGTAATGTACAAGACATACAGAGGGACACAGCATGAGCAGATATCGGTAAAAGATTACAGAAATCAGATCGATAAAAGCACGAGAAGACATCCTTGAAAATACGATGTAGAAAGCCAAAGAAACTGATTTGCTAGGCAAGTTCTCCTTTGTGAACTTCGCACTATAGTGTAGATTGGAAAACTATCTGCAAGAAGCACTAAGAGGCCTTCCTTCTAATGTAGCCAAATTTAAAAATATACTTCATTCATCTAGGATCATCTTGAATAATACTGACTGAGACTTTACTTTTTATTATTATTATTATTTATTATTATTATTATTATTATTATTACTTTATTATTAAATTATTTGTCATAATTATTATCGTCATGGCGCTTATCAGTGAAGTGTGTGGAGTGGAGTGTAGTGGGGGGGAAGGGAGTGTAGTGTAGTGAGAGGGGAGTGCAGTGTAGTGTAGTGTAATGTATTGATGTGTTAGTGTAAACTAGAAGTGAATTTAGAGTTTGCTAAATAAATTGGAACTATTATCTCGACCCCCCTAAATTCTAAAAGCTAAACCAATTGGTAAATGTGAAACATGTTTAGTAATTCTAATTTTAATTGTTATCATATTTGCCACCGAACATTAGCTCAAAGCGAACTTTAATAAATCTATCTATATATCTATCTATCTATCTATCTATCTATCTATCTATATAGGTCGAGTTTAAATGCTTCTTGCACAACAATTAGCGGCCTTCTGTTTTTATCAGAGGTTTTCTGTTGGTTCTCCGATCACCATGAGGTAAATGTGGTAGCAATACAGTATTACACGTGCAACTTTTCTTGGACGATGGATTGAAGAAATGCGGGTAGAGTGAGGGTATTAGTTACGAAATCGGCCACTAGATTTTATGAAGCAATGCCAATCTCGGAGAAGCAGTCATGCCTTGGAACGTTCTTAATAATTTGCGTTCCAACATTTCTCAGACGTTTGAGGTATATCCTGTGATGGATATTCCTCTGTTTCGGTCATTTATTTACTTTTTTTTGAGAAAATAACGGATAGTTCTTGCCTTCAAAAGAAAATTGTTTCTACTTCGCGCCAGTGAAGATGTGTTTGGAATGTCATCAGTGCTCGCTGCCAGCGTTTTTCTTCAACTGTTTATTGTGCCAGAGAGGGGGAAGCAAGGTCATCGTTCAAGAAACGTTGCGCGAGTAGAACTACAGATTGTCGGGAGCGCACCGCCCACCTAGAGACGCCACCCAGAGTGCCTTTGATTGGACAACCGTGCGCGTGACCCTTCTCCGACGGGCAGTCATCAGGTGAGTGTTTGTGTGAGTGGGGGGGGAGGAAATGTGGTACTGGAACTGTGACTCTCAAGCGACAGTGCACGTTTGACTGGAAATATACAAAAAAAACATGTGTCAGTTTGTAAGTTTTGATTCTAAGTGGTCGGCCGTGTGAATATTATAAATAAGTAGGGTAAATTTATTTAGTAAGTAGGTAAACGTTTGTATGTACGTTTAGATTATAAGCACAGAAGTATGTAAATAAGTAGCATAAAATTGTAAATAGTAGATTGTAATATTTGTGTCACATTCATTGTCAACTATTTTACTTTTATCTAATAGATTAAATTTAAAAATATATAACACAACAGTTTCCCCACCTTCTGTGGTTTCCTCGCTTGTGCAACAAGAGATCCTGTGGCGTCAATGTGACTGCAATAGCAAAACCCCAACCGGAAAGGACGCGGAAACACCTGCGGCCACCGGCGGAAGGAACAAATGGACGCTCGATTCCACAAATGGAAATTCCTCTCTGGATCAGAAGGAAATGGTCTGCCTCGCAATAGACGCATTTTACTGAGTCTGTAACATTCACATCTGCCCTTTTGTTTGTTCAACACTAGTTTCATCTACGTTTATTTTGTCCTTATAGCAGTGAAGCTTTTGTCAACCAAAAAACCTCATATTAAGTTTGCACGTGCGATATATTTGTGCTAGTGAGGCGGGGACCTTTCTTAGAGGATA